ATGCCATCACAGCATAATTGTTTCCTCTTTGTACTGATGTTGTTACATACAGGGGCTGCCTTTTAAGAAGTTCATGCTGTGTGCTGCTGACTCTGCTAGCCATTTTGTGTATTCTCAAAATAGCAGAATACTTAGGAAAATTTGGGGGAAACAGAAGATATGTATTTTGGTGCAGACTTTTTTAACCTGTGCATTTTTCCATAGTATTTCCATGAAGTATTTTCATGAAGTTTTTTTGAAGCCACTTAATAAAGTTTAAACTGTATTTTGTTCTCAACCTCATTGGTATGCACTCATTGTGTATCCAAGGCAGGCCATGTGCTAGCATTCAGGCGTCCTGAATGGATGTTGTGCTCTAGGGCAGCTCTCATTTAGAGCTTTCAGTAGTGTTTCCTCCAGTTCATGGAGTTAGTCAAACACAGACATGAAACTAAGTAAGGTGTCTTGACCTCAAGAAAATTGGCCATTTGGAAAATTATCCCATCCTAAAACAGATATTTTACAAATCTAAGCAACAGACTGAAACTATCATAGCTTAATGATGGGGACTAGGATTAATGAGATTAATGAGTTCCTGTTATGTAATCATTAGTCTGCATGGATTGTAAGAAACCAAAGTACATGATTTGCTTAGGATCTGTCTTGTCACTGGCTGTAGATTTGGATTGTCAGTTTTTTTTTCTTGTGATAGTGTGTCAGTGCAGCCTGGTGAAAAAGCCTTAATTCTGGTTTATTAGCTGTGTGTCCTTGAACAGGCAACTTAACGTCTCTGATCCACATTTTCTTCATAATTCAAAGGAATCTAATTATGCATAATAATATTAAAAAGCAGCATGTTGTGAGATTCACATAGTTCTTTGCAAAAACAGGTATAAGGTTGTCGAGACACTGAATCTGTATTAAGATTTAATTACAACCAATTTTTTTGTAATATTCATAAGAACATAATAGTACTCAATTTGATTTTCATATATGCCACCTTTATGGTGATTCTTCTTTGTGTAATATTTACGTATATATTTAAATTTCTGAATAAATTTTAGTGAAAAAGTTGCCTTAATTGTGTTCTGTGTAATATTTAAACAGAATTTGCATTTGTTTAAAAACATAAATGAGGATTACTAACAAGGGCACCAAACTGACAATAGCTTGTACATGTCCCTGTGTACATAGTGGGAAGCACATAGGTAGAAATCTGAAACATTCCTGTTATTTACAACAGAGCTTATTTGCTTGGCAAGGTAGCACTTGTAGTGTGAGTATCAGGTGAGATCCTTTGGACTACAAGTTATTTAGAAAGTCTCTAGAGGTGATGTTGAACCTTAAGGGAGGCAGTGGAAATTAGCTTTCATGCTTTAGTAGGGTGTAAAGTGAGTCTGCCTTTTGATGCAATATTGACTTTGGGTGTCATTGCTACTTAAAGGTAACTAGATGACGACAGGAAGGGAAAACTAAATAAATGACTTAGACTGGTGGCCAGTAGCAGTGCCCTGTTTCAAGAGATTAAAGCACGTTTTTCTGCTTGTTTTTTTTTACTGGTAAGACTGAGCTGTTAACAGAGACAATGAAAACTTCCCTAAAGCTGAAGTACTAGCATCCTTTACCAGTGTTTCAAAAAACTTTAATTCTCAAGTTAAGTGCCTTTTATTTATTGCAAGGAGACTTAAAATGAACTGAAGCAAAGGAAAATAAATACAATTTAGAGTGCCAAAAGTGTAACACTTTCTCTTTAGATTTCATATTTTGTTTTTGTTTTCTAACTCAATTTTAGTTTGTTTAGTTGAGTAGTAATCTCTAACCTCCTTCTCAAAGCAGCATGTTACTGTGATTTCCAGGGCAGTGTGGGAACAGATGTTACCAAATGGCTGCAAATAACTAATAACTTGGGTAATTTGCACTTTCCAGTGATGGAAGTTTTTTTATTATTTAAATGAACATTTTGTTTAATTGAGTAACAGTAATATTCTGCCCAACTAGAAATATTTGAAGTTGTCTTTGAGAGACTGTTTTGATAACCCTTGTAAGAGGTTATCACTTGTTTGGTAAATAGAACACCAAGATGTTCGTTCCTAGTATGACTAGATGAAAACATGGTCTGCTATTTAGGGGACTGGTTAAGCTCATGTCAACAAGAATGTTTTGAATGTTCAGAACTCCAAACAAGACTGATTTTTACTATTCTTATCTAATATTTAGAATTGGGCTGAAGTTGATTGGTTAGAGGCTTCATTCCACAGGTTATTCAAGACTCTTCATTGTTTTCTAGCTACCCTCAAAGGAGTTTGTAGTTCAGCATAGCAGTCACTTGCTTTTTTGTGTCTGCTAACATTTTTATTTGAATTAGGCAAGGTAAATATTCATTGTCCATATTAGCCATATTTAAATATGTAGCCACTTGTGGCTGATAGGTCCTGGTATGGACCCTGCAAACACTGAATATTGTAATTGTGGAAATTTCGTTGGTCAGTACTGCACCTGTTTCTGTCCCCATAGTCTTTGCTGGCTTATTTTGATTCACATTGGGAACGAGAGAGGTGACTGAAGAAGGGACAGTTTCATTAAAAGCCAGCTGAAAGATGCATATATCACCTCTGATGGTAGTCCCCCTAACCAAAATTTAGTTATATGCTGACACCTCACATGCTGCCCGGGTACTCAGAAGAATCACTTGCTGGGTGGATCTACTTTGGTGAAACTTGGTTTAGTTGGAGACAGAATGGGGACAAAAAGTCTGTTACCAAAGGAAGATGAACATGAATGCTAGGACACCTTTGCTGTGCAGGTCACATTTACTCAAGATGTTCATTATAGCAGTGAGATTTCTGCATACTCCCTCCAGTAAGCAGGAATTGAGTTAGTGTTGTCTGCCTCCTTGTTGCTTGCTCTCTGTATATATGTACTCATTATATTTAAGGCTTACAGTACAAAAGTCTTTTTCCCATACAGTTTTCTAGCCCTAGTTTTATTCTTTGAAACAAACATTTTGTAATTTTCAAGTCTAGAAATTCAGTCGATAAATAAAATGCGTTTTTCTTGATTTATTAATTTTAGGAATTACACGCTAATTATAATAACATCACTTAGCTGTTTTTAATCCTCTTTTACAACAATTCAAGTTTAGGTTAGTGCCTCCTGGCTCCTAGTTGAGATTACAGATTCGATTGTTACTGAGCTTACTCCATGATACTGTTTTCTTTTCCATTTCCCAGTTTTGGTCATCTCTTCATTATAAATCCTAATTGTTTGATAAATGTACATCAGTTTCTGTAAGTGTTTTAGCTTTGCCTGTTGCTGAATCTAAAAATCATACTGTTTAATTTTTGATGATATAATTTTTCACTGAAAAGAGAGCAGCTATAATTTTTTAGCACAGCTTTATTATAATTTGAAATTATCTTTTTCATTTCTTTCCTCTTTAGAAAATGCCCATGGTTTCTACCACTGTATCGGTCGCCTCGGTGGGTTTTAGACTGCTGTTACCAATCACCTCCTCTCCTGAGCCCTCTTAGTCTTCTAGTGTGTTTTAATTCAGTGCTCTTTTAGCTGCTTTTAAGTTGTTGAATTTGCTTTAATGACTGCTAATCCTTGTTGTTCTTACTTTGAGTTTATACCTGTTTAAAATTCTGTGATTTCTAAACGATTGTTTTGTTTTTGTATACAAATACATGTATACACCTAAATACTTTGCATCTGAAGTGTAATCCTAGTCTGAAGCTTCGAGTCACTGGATAAAAAGGGAAACACTCAGGTTGCAGTTATTTTGACGTGGGAGGGAGTTTGATCTATTTCTAGGTAGAGTTGACTGAGAATAAACATCAGTTACTGTTATTTTTGTGTCAAGAAACATTTTTGTTCAGAGTAATTCAATGTTCATTTTCTAAGACTCAGGACATTTTCTAGATTGACACATTTTTTGTTGAGAGACTGTCTTTTGTTTGTTGGTATGCATATTGTCTTCAGAATTAGCCCTTTTTTTAAAATTACAGTGTTTCATAACTTCATTGCTCAGCATTTCTTGAAATTGGCTTATTTTTCCCCTATTTCTGGTTACAGGTAAATGGCATGTGTGGTGTTAACAGTGTTTCCTGGGTTAGCAGGCAAATATTAGGTCTAACTGGTCTTGGGGGTGTTAAGCCATGCAATGCTCTTAGACTACTTTTTATTTTTACAAGGGTACAGTACTGTAAAAATGTCAAAAAAAAATCCACATGCCCGGTTCACTAGTAAATATATTGCTAAATCTGAACCTTTTTGGCAGTAGCTTATGCTACTCAAGGGACCATATTTTTACAGAATGATATATTTCAAAGGGTATTGGTTTCCATTGTAGAAAATTCATACATTTAGAGCAACTTAAAGCAAAAAACAATTGTGCTTGTGTTGTGTGTTTAAATTATTAGTCATCTTGCATGCCTGCCTAGGTTAAGTGTCAGATGCTATATATCGTGCCGAAATAAAATTTATTGTTAGGAGACCAGGCTGTACCTGTGCTTATACAGCATTTTCCTTGGAGGATCAATTTGAGTATATGAACTAATATCAGTCAGATTTTTTTTTTACAGTAACATTATTGATAATAAAGGAGAAGTTCATCGAGGAGAAAAACAAATAAAGGAAGCATAAAAGTCTCCTACTGTATGGAACTACAGAAATGGATCAAAGAGTTTGACAGGAAGTTTAATGTGTACATACGTAGAGGCTGACAGGAACATGCTGTGTGTGCCAGAGGTTCCAGTGATGGAAAACCGTAACACAGTGCTCACTGACCACAGCATGAGCCCCGACACACGTTGTAAATAATCCAGAGATGTATGGCTGCATTAAGCACGAGGCAGATGTATTAACGGCAGTAAATTCACAGCAGCAGAAAGGCTGGCATGCAGAAATTCCGCTGCTTAATTTTTGTAATGGATTAATAGGATAGCAACTGTTTTTGAGTACCGCCATTTTCGGTTTTACCCCATGTTAAACAAGCCCTCATTGTGTCCCTTACACACCAGGTTTGTGGACGTGGATTCTTGCTTCAGTACCATCAAGCTAAAAGCAGAAGATGCTTCTGGTAGAGAGCATCTACTCACCCTCAAGTTAAAGGCGAAGGTATGTGTGAAGTGAACCCTGTGTTCTCACTGCGAAGCTGTGCTAGTTGCTTCTAAAACTACGTACATGATGCTTTTAAAATCCAGTTAGTATAATACATTCTTTGCGGATTTCCAAAGTGTCCAGAAGTGTAGATGCAATTTCCTGTTTAGCTGAAGTTTAACTAAACTATAGAGACTGTGTTGTAAAAATTACTGGTAAGATTTGGTGTCTCCCGACATGCCATTTATGTTATTTTTGTAAGCCCACAGCAAGTAGAAACCTGAGTGCTTCCCCTCTTCCAGGTCCAGTTCAGCAGAGAGCATTTTGCCTTCAACTCTCACAATTGTGAATGAACCTTTCTAGTTCTCATCTGACTCTCCCTCCCCATGGCACGCACACGCATCACACGCGCACACACACACTCTGTCTCATTAGTTTGCTTTTGGCTGAAATGTCTGACTTAGATAGTTTTAAGAATTTGCAAAGGTTATGCAAACCTTTATAAAGCCTCCTCTATAGAGCCCTTTTACAGGCTCGATCTGTAACTGTTCATTGATTTCATTGGTGTACAGCAAGGTTGCATCATATTTGATTTTTACTTCTAGCTGCTAAATTTTAAGAAATAGAAACAAGGAAATTCAGCATATTAATCATTTACTTAGTAATCTTTGGGGAAAACATGATTTTGAAGAAAACCAGGGCATCCTTTTTTTTTTATTGTTTTTGGGAGTCATCAATCAACTCTATTTCAGAAGATTGTAGTGATGAAAAGATCAATTGTGTTTGTCCTTTTTAAAAATGTGTCTGGCATTTAAACCTTCCACAAGAGAAAATTAATATATAAAACTGTGCCGGGTGACACAGAAATGTTGATACCTTCTAGAGTCTCTGAATCAGACAGGTTGAGAAATGACTCATTCTTTTGCACTCTCACATTTAGAATATTTAGGTGTAATTTTAAGACTCATGTGGTAAGTGTTGAATCAAAAATTGGTAGATAGAAATTTTATTTATAAAGTAAGTTAGATGGTGATTTTTATTAAAATAAAAGGATTTTACTTTCCTTTTAAGTTCTGAAAGGTATACTTTTTCTTAAAATCCAAGAGAAATTTGCCTTTATCCTTCCCAAAGGTGGCCTGTTCCCCGTGGCAAGGGTGTTGTCATGTCCTTCAAAGCTCCATTTGTATATATTTTGTATATTGATAAAAGTTGCTTTGCTGTTTTATCAAAACCCAAATCAAAGATTTTAAATACATCCTTCATTCATTTTTACTAGTTCTTTTACTTAAAATGGAGGTAGTGCTGTAAGCATGCCTTCAACTACACGTGTAAGGTTTTAGTATTAATGTAGGTTGATGGCATGTATTTCATTTGTTGGTTGTATTGAGAGAGAACCTGTGGCATCTGATTTGGTCTGTTCTGTCGGCTTGCCTTCTTAACCTTCTCACTGTAGATGAGATGATAGTTCTGGAAGAGTTTCTGTTTCTATGCAGAGTATGTCCTCAACTGTGAATGTTTTAAAGTTAGCAGGTTGTCTAATGGATGCCCTGGCAGCAGGAAAAGATTGATATATAAATTGAGCTAGGAAGCCATTGGCATAGGGATGTGTGGTTTGTGGGTTTTTTTCTTTTCTTTTTTTCTAAGATTTTACTTATTATGTTGCCACAATTATTTTTTCCCCTTTAGCTTTTGTAGAAACAAAGCTGTCTTTGAAATGCAGTGATTTTTTTTTTTGAGTATTTTAGTCTGTGGGTTAAAATGAGTAATAGCTTAAATTGTTAAGAGAACACAGTGCAAAATCTAATCCACATTTTTTTTTTACTGAATTTTAACCTTAAAGAAGACATACCTTGATAAATATACAAACCTGTTTCTCCAATTTTATATTTTGGTTTTTGTTTTATTGAGTGTATACTTTCCTAATTCTACCACTTGCCACCGCTTCTGTTTTCAAAGACCCACAAAGAACATACTACTAATAATTAATTTTAATACTATTTAGGACTGAAAGCATTATTAATTGCAATAAAATGACTATGTAAGAAATTTTTATTTAGGTGGTTTTTGCAAGTGTATTTTTATGTGCTATTTATAGTATATCCTCACCTATGGGGTGGAATGATTATTTCTTTACTAGAAAAAGCCCTGGGTTACACAGCTTCAGTTAAGGTCAGAACTACTTGATAAGCAAATCAGAGACATACTAGGTCTGGTGCTCTGTCCCCGCTTCAGTTCATGTATTCACGTGTGTCTAGCTTTATTGCTTAGATGGACCAACCTGGGACACACTTGGTTAAAATTTCCCTTAGTCTAAAATACACTGTATCTAACAAATACATAATTAACTTTGTATAAAATATGGTGTTAACAAAAACATATAATTAACATATAATTACATTCTTTTATAGTTATCGAATTGCTTCAAGTGTGATTTGGAAAACTATACTTGAACATAATTAAATACCGATTTTTCAATTAATAGCCTTGTAAGTGGAGCTTTTGTTTTCAATTAAACTGCTAAAGTAAAGTTTTCACATTTAGAGTTTATTAAAGTCATAAAATTAACCTTACATGTGAATCTAATTTGCACATTTAATAAATCTATTCATTTAAATCATAGTAGGTATGGCTTAATAAGTATACATAGGTACACAGAATAGGTATAGAGCCAACTTGCATATAGGTCAGTGCAATTTATCACAGTGGTAAGGTTGTTTTGCATTGTTACAGACATAAAATTTTAAAGATGACATTGCCAAAAGTGTATGGTGGAATCATGTTTATGTGGGAGATCATACGGTATATGATATTTGTATATTTACCAAGGTATGTCTTCTTTAAGATTAAGATTCAGTAAAAAAAGTGGATTAGATTTTGCACTGTGTACTCTTAACAATTTAAGCTATTTTACAGATTTGTGTTTTTCTTTAAGTGCTTGTGGGTATTTTTCTATCAGTTTGCATGTATTCTTCACCATTCTGCGTCCTGAATGAGGTATAAGATTTACTGCCTTCCAACATGATGAGCTATATACGGGCTTAATGCCCTCCATGGCCAATACTTGGCTGGGTGCATCCACTCTAAAACCGGTAACACTTGAGTAATGTCTTTCTTACTCTATCCATTTTGCTGACTCACTTGCTTTAGAGAGTTGATACTGTGTGTTAGTGTATCTAGGTGAGTAGAGGCTACTTATGCTAAATTCTCTTTTCTACCCTTGGAGGGTTTTGACCTGTGCATTATTAATTTTAAGCAAGCCTGACATTTTAGAGAGAAATAAATTTTGTAACAATTTGGCCAACTTCTTTACATGTGGAGTCAGATATATTGATCAACTTGTCAAAGAGCATGCAGATGAATAAAGTAACCAGGGAAAACTGTATTTGAGATAATCACATGTTTTTTTTTATATCAAAATCATTACTCTAGTGGCTGTAGTAGTTAAACTTTGAAGCGCAACAGCTGCTCTTGTGAGGAGCCTTAAATAATCTCTGCTTCAGGTTGTTCAGCATTAAAATGCTAGAATATTTTTATGGTTTTCTCTATATTTGCCCTTGTGCCACTTACATAGCCAGATTGCAGTAGCCAGAGGGTATATGTCAGTAGCAGTAAGCTTTTTTTTAACCGTTTATTGCAGCAAATGTTAATCCTTTTGAAAATATTGGCTTTAAATGGGCTGATGTTTGTTAAGTACTGTTGCCTTTTGTTTACTCATCAAAGTCCTGAAAAAAAAGTGGCTGGAAATTGAAATTTAAGACTTTTGTTAAACATTTTTCAAATGAAGTTTTCCTAAAACTGTAATTTTCCTTCTTTAAACCTAGAATTTTTAACAATTATTTACTTACAAATGGAGACTACTATTTCATTTCCCAAATTTCCAAAATAATAGCCATACCAAAGCTGGAAACTGGAAACTCATTCCAGGTCTCCCATGTGTGAGATCACCTGCTACCTTCTAGGGTGTGCATTGGTAAGAATGTAGAATGAAAAGTGGAGTTTGGACTGAGGCACTTCAGTGGGGTGTGTGGGCATTGCAAGTACCATTTAGCCTCTGGGTCAAATGCTCACCTGAGTTTAGTCTGTTAAAGGAGAGAAAAAAAATATTTTTGATTACACATGACTTTCAAGAATCCAGAATTGGATTATACAGTCATCATGAAGAAAAATTATCTTTAGTCTTTAATAACTCAGAAATCTAATTTGTCTCCATAAGTATCACCTTTTGGTAAATAATTGAGGAATCAAATTTTTATTTGCCATCTTTGGAAAGGCTTGCTTTTTTTCTTTTTCTTTTTTTTTTTTTTGCTAAACTTTGGGTTTTTTTTAACAGCTAGATGACATTTCCTTATTTCTTTTTATTTTATAAAATAATTGCTTTAACATAGAAAATTATTTTAACATTACTAGTTATATATGGTCTTTTCGTGTATTTCCTGATTCATTTAACACATCATGTCTATTTAAATAGTGACTGAAGCTTATTGTAGCTAAATTTTATAGATTGGAGGGTAATTAAATAGTAGCTTATTGGATCCCTTATCTTGAACATAAACAGAATACTTTTTGGTTCACGCCTGAGATCACTCCTTTTATTGCTTGCTGCACATCATTCAGGTTTCTGTATTCTTAACAAAGATAGACTGTTAGCTGTCAGCTCACTGTAACAGCAGAATTAAGATCGTCGTATATACTACATTGAAGATAGCAATGATACTTTTGTAATATTTTCAGTTTTCTGAAATTCTGCACCCGAAATTATCATCAGAAGCAGAAATGACTTGGTTTTGTGTTTTTCTTCCCATAGTACCCTGCAGAGTCACCAGATTGTTTTGTGGATTTTCCTGTTCCATTTCCTGTTTCTTGGACACCACAGGTAAAACCTTAAATTGAAACAATTTAAGAAGGGTCGTGTTTTCAGTGACCATTACAGGTTTTGAGTTCATCCTTTTCAAGTTTTACTCAGGAGGCATTTTATGAACTATTAAGATAGCTTAAGCTAATGACCATTTCTGTTTTCCTACCCTACTTTGTGTACACACACACACACACACACACACACTCCCACTCCCTCAACAATCCGTTCTCCAGAATGTTGCTTTCCTTTTCAGTTAACATGCAGCGACTCTGTTGGTACATTTTCCTCTAAATTTAATCCTAAAGAACCCCTTGAAACCAGTGAACGATAAGTTTAAAATAAAGATTCTTTGTTTTACCAAAATTCTTAGCAGTGACAACACAGTATCAGATTGTTCAGAGCAGAATGCATTGTGAGTGAACATACAGTCCTCACCATTTCTGTCCAGTTTTCGATATTTAAAGTGCTGGTTCTTGGTTCGTCATCCTAGAATCCGGATTTCTTCTTCTTTTTTTTTTTTTTTGTTATGTACTTTAGAACATTTGCACTTAATTTTCCTTTCTCCTTCTGCCATTTTAACCCTTGGTACCCTGTTGATATCTAGCAAGATAGTATTTTTGGAAGGTTGTTGTGACTGTGATTTTATAGTTATAAGATGGTGAGATTATCACTAGTGCCATTATTGACTCATCATCTCTGTAATATTGGAAGATGTAGTTGTTGTAGCTACCTAGGTTCAAAGAATAGTCAGATGACAAACTATAATCCTTTCATCAAATTAATTTTACTACTTAAAAAATATGGAGAAAAGATTTCTGTTTGTAGATAAACAAGAGAATTTCTGGTGACATCTTACGAGTGTCTTCTAGAGGCTCTACGTATTTCTGATTTGGGTTGGGCAAAGTGCTAGATTGGGTTCAAGTAGAAATTTATGCTTGCATTTTAGATTATAATTAAGAGTAACATGATTATATATGAAATTCATATGAAAGTCAAAAGATGATTTAAAGAGTCTTCTGAAATCTGAATGTCATGTTGCCCCACCCATTTATTCACCAATTATTTTTTCTCATTTTTCCTAAAAACTAACATTTCCACTTTTTCCAATGGAAGTTGAGAAAACATGGCAGAATAAAGGGAAGAAAAGCCGGTGGTTTTTACTTTGATGAACCTTTTAGTAATTTGTGTTTATTTCATTCAAAAGTCAAATAGATAATATAGACAGAACAAGTTGTTCCATCCATTGATTCATTCTCCCTGAAAGCCCGCCACTGCTGGGGCTGAGGATGCCAAACATGAGTCTGGGACTCAGTTCAGGTCTTCCGTGTGGAAGGCAGGCACCCAGGTACTCACGCTGTTCAGCACTGCCATCCATGGGACACATTAGCAGGACGCTGGAAGTAGAAGCAGAGTCAGAACTTAAACCCAGTCATTCCCATAGCAAATACAGGTACCTCAAGGGGAATCTTAATGACCCACCTCACCTTTTGTTATTTTTATCTGTGTTATACATGCAAGATGTACTGTTTTTTCAAAATTGAAATTCTGTGTTGTACAGCTCTCTTGTTTTTAAAAGTATTGACTCAAAAACCTGACTTTAAAAATGTGAGATCATGAGCAAATACTGTCTGCATTCTATTATGCTTTCAAGATATTGATGAAAATTAATCATAATTTATAAATATTCCAAGGTTGATGAATGTTAGGTCTGTTTGTTTTTTAAATATATGTAACTACTTCCTGAAAAAAATTTAAATAAAAAGCTTACTTTTAGCATTTATAACAAAATTAGTCTGGGAGATCAGTAGATTCGAAAATTTGGGTAATTTATTTGGAAAAATTCTTATCTTTGGTGTCAGTGTTGTGGTGAAACAGGTTAAGCTTCTGCCTATTGTGCTGGTGTCCCTGATGCTCTACTCTGATCCAACTCCCTGCACCACATGGGAGACCTGAAAGAAGCTCCTAACTTTGGCTTGGTTCAAAGAGTTGCTGTGACTATTTGGGGAGTGACTCAGTAGATGGAAGATCTCTATTGCTTCATCTCTCTCTAACCCTGCTTTCAAATAAATAAATAAAAATCTTAAACAATATATATAGATAAAATTTTACTTATTTTAGAGGCAGACATATACACAGAGTGGTAGCTCAAGTCTTCTGTTTCCATCCCTGGATACATACAAATACCCAGGCTAGACTGTGTACGATATTAAATTCAAGCGTTAGTGTTAATTGAGTCATACAATACCTTTAAGAAAATACACAGCTAGTAATAGCTGGAATGTCGTATACAAATAGACTGTATTGTAGCACGTGGCAAACTATAGATAAGAAGAAGCAAGGCATCTTTTTATTTACAAGTCAAATTTTGAGCAGTATTTGTATTTTGTCACGTTTGCTTCATGTCTATTTTTCTGAAATAGAATGTTCTAAGAACAGCTGAAATCTCACCCTTCCTCTTTCCTTGCTTTTCTCTTTCTGAAGAGGTCACTCTTGCCCTGAAATGGGTGCAGATACTATCCGTGCACTTTTCCTGTGGTATTTTGTATACCTTACTTAACTTTTGAAATACAGGATGGTTTCACTGGTTTTTCCATGATCTATCTGAGCCTGCTCTTTTTTATTTTAAATGCCTTATCTTATTCTGTCAGTCAGGCAATTTGTTCCTTGGCTTACTGATAAAACTGGTCACAATATCTTACTAATGACCCTATGGTATATAGCTTTATGTATTTCTTTGTGCTCATGTATGAGACATTTTTAAAAGAGAGATTTGATTATATATTTGAAAGGCAGAATTGGAGGGGTTGGGGGAGAGAAAGCTGCATCTTCCATCTGCTGGTTCACCCTTCAAAAGGCTGTAGTGATTGGGCTGGCCGAAGCCAGGAGGCTACGACTCCAGCTGTGTCTCACATGAGGGCGCAGGGGTCCAAGAACATGGGCCATCTTGCGCTGCTTTCTCAGACAAGTCAGCAGGGAGCTGGAGAGGTAGTGGAGTGATGTTGGCATTACTGTCAGCGGCATCACTGTAGGCCTAGCGTGAGACTTTTACTGTGAGTTATTTCTATGAGAAAAGATCCTGGCTGATAGGTAAGGTGTCTCTTTAAGGATACTAAATAATGCCAACCAGCTTTCCAAATTTGTTGCACAAGATTGTACCAAGTAATTGATACTTTTACATTCTTCCAACTTTCAGTGAAGTTAAGTTCACCATAACTAAGAATTGAAGCTTATCATTATGTGTCACTAGTCTTTGCCTTTTAAGATACTTTTGCTTTTATTGAAAGCATTCCTTCTGTATTTTGGGCACCAATTCTCAGTTGATTACATGAGTTGTAGGTATATTTTCCTGGAGGCATGGCTTTCAGTTTTGTGTGTGATACTTGTTATACAGCATGTGTTATATGTAAGGCTGTGCAGAAGACACGGTTACATTCATGGGCTGCCATCTTGTTTCTTGTTTTTTTTGAAAAAGATTTGCTAATAACATTCTGAAAATTAACACCTTTTTAATTTTTATTTAAATGAGTTAGCAATCCATATTTGTACTTGCATACTTCATGTATGTTTATACAGTTTAGATGTTGTCTTTATTTATATAGAAAGGTAGTTGTGATTTCAGTATTTTTCACTTACATGTGCTTCTAAAACTTAGGCATTATTTTTGAACAACTTTCTCTCTGTAAGACTCTAGCTTTCCATCATAAGGATTTTGCTGATTTTACCATCAGGATTAATTTCTTTTAAAAAGATATATATATCTTTTTTTAATGAAAGGCAGAGTTACAGGGAGAGAGAGGCAACTCTTCCATCCATTCTTTCACTTCCCAAACAATTTGCAGTGTCAGGCTGGGCCAGGAGCTTCTCCTAGGTCTCTGGCATGGATGCAGGAGTCCAACCTTGGGGAAATGTTTTGCTTTCCCAGGCGCATTAGCAGGGTGCTGCACAGAGTGGGGCAGCTGGGACCCAAACTGGCACCCACATGGGATGTGGGTGTTGCGGGTGGTGGCTTAATCTGTGGTGCAACAGTGCTGACCCCAGTATGTATTCCTTGAGTCTCTTAGACAATTGTGCATTACCAATACCAGTTGTGTGGTGCAAAGAAGAAATGAGACATCCTTATATATGATCTTTTTACATTGAATGGCTTGAAACAGTTCTGCTTGCTGAGATTTCGTGCATGTTTAACAATTTTTAAACAATTACATTTCTTAAGCAAAATAGATAGTACTGTTTAGTTTAAAGCTAAGTTATATTTAAGAAGCAGTAAATAGCTTTTAGAGAATCGATTAAAAAATTCTTTGGTTTTTGTACATTTCGTGTTTGGGTTTCTTGTATCTGGACTTTAAACTTGAAAGATCTTTATTTTCCTTTCTTTTGTAACATAATAGGCATGGCTTTGTGGCATCCATATTAAAGATGGGTAATTTTCCTTATGGTCCCTGTCTTCCTGCTGGGTTGATAATGTTTTGATGTATTTTTCTTTTGCTCTGATGAGAGGTCTGCTGCTGCTGCTCTGACATATTCATTTGGATGAATAATTATAACTTGCACAATGTCAAGCTGAAGATGGTAGGGTTTTGTGCGTCATGACAAGCCTAGTAGCCAGTGCAGGTGTCTCACAGCATGATCAGCAACAGCCAGTGTATTCTGGCTCAGAGGAGACATTTAGAGTGGTAAGAAATCAGCACCAAGGGCAAGGCTGCTGCTCCTACTGCTGCAGTGATGTGTGCCAAAGAAACACAAAGTGCCGCTCGAAGACAGGAGTCTAAATACCTCTCTTCAGTGGATTTTCTTTTATAGATTTTAACGTAAAGTGTAAGACTATCTGAAGATTTTCTTTATCTTAATCTGTCAATATGGCAAGTGCTTCAAAGTGGAATATTTTGCCAGCTTATTCCTTTTGTATACAGGTCATATCTGTATTGTTGCTAGTGAGGTTTCAGAATGTGAGCAGTCAAATTTTAAGTGTACAGATATTATTATATAAAAACAAAATTCATTTTGTCTGTCACTGGCCG